GTGGCCCGCCTTATCGGGATGTGCAAATCTTTAAAATTTAAAAATAAAATACAACGCAAAAAATCACAAACATCCCCGGCCCCAGCAGAGCACTATGTGGAAGGTGGTGTTCCATGCAATGCTTTGACCATATTAGCACCCAATTCGTAGCCAACATCCCCCACTTTCCACTTCCACCCCACCTAGCTGCTCGTGTGTGCTCTATCTGGTGTCCTGGTGAAAAAGGATGCGATTCGGTTTAAACTAAGGCACTAAGCGCTTTTACCTCTGCTTGTCTCGCTGCCCAACTTTGTCAAACGCACATAACAAAGTGTTATGTGTCTTGTAACTAACACTATGCGGCACACTCTGAAAAAAAGTACCCTGTTAAGGGGTCATAACCCAGCACAGAGCACAGTGGTATCCAATAAATTGGTAATTCTATTGATTAAAGAAAAGAAAGAACATTTGTTTATTAGTAGTTTTTTCTAGAGTGTAGCCAAATTTTCTTCCACCGTGAAAACTGATCAGTTTACACCAATCGGATATTTTCAATCTGAAATAAAAGAATGTCAGAAAAAAAATTTTAAGAAAATGTCTTAGAAAGATTGAAAAAATACATATAATTTTGCGCGGTAAGAAGTTCGCCGGGTCAGCTAGTAATATAATAATATAATTTTAAATAAATTTTCTTCTAATTTGATACCTGATCCCAGTGTACTTCTGGCGATAGGCACAAACTTCATCTCATGCTCTTCCAGAACCCTTTCCCCCGTCCCCTTGTAGCGATTTTCAGATGGAGAGTGTGAAAAAAGTACATTTTTCAAATGTTATATTTCCGCAGGCAGCTTTGCGGGACGAGCGAAAGTGTGGACACTTCCCGGCTCGGAATCTCGCTGGCAGCCTTTCGTTTTATTTTTATAGTTTGCCGGGCGAACCCGAAACCGAAACCACCCGGCAGACCCACATGTCCCAGCTCCAGCTCCAGCTCCAACCCCACCCACATTTGGCATTGCGGTCGTTTTGTTTTCTGGCCCATTTGCGGGGCAAAGTTTTGCATCAAGTTGTAAATTTGGCGATTAGCACCCCTTGCTGAGTTTTCAAAGTCGCAGATGGATGTGGATGTGGAAAAGGAAGGGCATGTGGACAAGGACACGGAGATGGAGATGGTAATGGAGATGGGTCAGAGCCATTTCTAACAGCCGCACACAAAAGCTTCTTGACAAGATGCGCGTCGGCTGATAAGTTGCATGTGGAATTAGCATAGGTTTTGGGCCCAGCTCCACACCAGCAGCATGGCCACAGCAACGTCAGCCGCCACATCCCAGCAGCAGCAGCACCAAACGGGCGACGATCTTGTCGCTAAGCTTTATGAATAAAACATTTTCGGCGGCGAGCGTGGTCAACAGTAGCTGGCCAAGTCCGAGTCCCAGTCCCAGTCCCAGTCCGAGTCCGAGTCCGAACTCTCCCAGTTGCAGTTGCTACAAATGTTTTACAAGCTTTTCAGCGCTTGGCTGTTGCCATTGTTGCAGCCTCAGTTCCCGGAAACAATTCAGTTTAACAGAGAGACAGCCAGGAGAAGGAGTTGGGCTGTGGAGCTGCTGGGGCTGCTGGGGAACGGGGGAAAGTGCATCGCATATCGGACAATAAATCGTGAATGGTTTCAGCCAAACTGAATGCCCGATGCCTCGATTCCGATTCACTGCGCCACTTGCATTTGCTTTATGATATGAGGCCTGTCGCTGACATTTGGCTTGGCCTTATTTATGATAACAGTTCGCTGCGAAAGGAACAGGGAGCGGGGACAACATTCACTCAGCAGTTTGTCAGCATTTTGTCTCTGTATCGCGGGATCTCTCTGACCCAAAGCTGCAGGCGGCTCCAGCTTTTTGAATTTTTTCATATTTCTTCCTGGGCAGGAAATGAGTTTCGAATATATTCTCCTTTCTGTGCTCTGCCTTTTTCGCTCTCCTTTTTTTCGGTCCAGCCCGTGGGCGTGAATGCGGTGAGGCGTCCCCGTAATCGTGGCAAATTTGATATACTTAATGCCAAGGGATGAGTTGCAAATTGGTTTAACTGTGTCTGTGGCTCTACTTACAAGCTGCCCGCAGGCAATAAAAATGTATTTTTATGTGTTTTTTATGATTTCTCTCCTGCGATAGAACGCACCCGTTAAATGAGCCGCGAAAATAGTTTCCGTGTCCTGGAAATTGCAGGGAAAATGCGCCCTAATGCGATAAGGTGAGTGCGGATAAATATTATTGCGGATTTGCCACCCAGACTGAAGGTGTCCTTTAAAACGGCCCAAAATGTTTGAGGTCTGAATGATATAGAAACCGAAAAAGAGAAGAATTACGGTAAAGAAACATTTAATAAGCTTGAATTTAAGAAAAATAAAAGCAAATTGGTAAGTTAAGAGTTTTGATAAATGTAATTGTTTAAGTAAAAACAAAGTCAGAAACTAGAAAAGCGAAATAAATATACTTAGGTTAGTAGTTTTAAGTGGTAAATCTCTATCCATTAAGAATATCAAAACGAGCTCAGCTTTTGTTCTAGGAAAGTACGATTTTAAAGAAATTTATTTCTGCTACAGAAGTCTGATATCCCTTAAAAAGTGTCTAAAACTACAAAATGTTATATCGTAAAATCAAAAACAAAGTAAACAGAGCCCTTTTAAATTATTTTGTTATTTCGAATATCCATCTTATTAAGAACCCATAAACTAAGTGAACAAGGGGTTCACAATAAATTGTGATTTAAATATTACTTAAACATAATACATGTTAAATTGAGATATACTGATTTATTGATATGTTAAGTAAAATAAATTCCATTATCAGGGGAAATACATAGCCTCAACAGATGAAGCTTTTAATCTCAAATCAAATGTGGATATTTCTTACAAAGAGCGCCGTATTATTCATTTTGGATAATCTTCTTCCCAACTGAAAGATCGCTAGGCAACAATTAGGTTTATAATTAAATATTCGTTTGGCAACATTTTAAAACACAGACAGCTCTCCCTCCAATAAGTCAAGCCGACCCCATCGATGGCCCACCCAAAACCCACATGATATTAATTAAAAGTCGCGCACTCAACCATTTAGCAAAGAATTGAAATTAATTTGCAAGAGCAAACCGAATAAAGCGAGCCAGAACCACGAACCCGGAACCATCGAACCAATGGCAATGGCAGCCACATGGCAAAGGAATCAATCAGGCGTGGAGCCCATCATGGCAAACAATGGCCATTCCCAGATCCAGAAGTTCGCCACGTCTGATTAGCCCCGGCAATCGCAACTTCCGCTTGAAAATGAAAATGTTTATTAAAAAATTTTCACTTTTACATAAATTTCCCGGGAAGCACTAGCAACAGCAGCGTCGGCGGCAGCAGGTACCAGCTGGTGCCATCTGCTCGGGTACGGCCACACCCAGGGCTCTCCGATGGGAACCGCCCCCGTTTACGGTCTTATGTACGGACGGCACTACGGTTGTCTCCCTCGAACCGTGCGCCCATTGGACGGGTCTCGCGAACCGGTTTCTGCCCAATGCCAAAGGGAAGGCCATTTTCAGAGCAGAGAGCTATATACATATAGTAAATGGTTTGCGCATATATGGGAATACGCTCTCGTATGTATGTGAAGCTTGGAATCGAGGGGATGTGTGGCCTCTGCAAGTGCTCCACTTGAGGCAGCTGCTCCTACGCTCCCACGCTCGTTTGCCTAAATGTTTGTGTTCATCTCTGGGATGAGTGTGGGTGGTAGGACGGAAGGTATCCTGGGGGTAGAGAACCCAAAGGAAGAGGGGCTTCACAAAGGCAAGCTACATCAACTGCCAGTTCTAACTACCAGATACATTGATTTCCATACCATATGTGGGGAGGAGAGCGCGTAAGCGGAGGGTCGGGTCCATCATCTTAAAGCTTTTAGCAGTACGGGCTGAAATTTTGAAAAACTAAGTTTTCAGGGGTGCTACAGAAATTTTAAATTAACTAAGAACTTAAATGTTATGTGGTAAAAGATTTAAATAAGCATAACTTAGGGAAGCGAGGTAACATATGTATGCAGTTTGCAATTTGACTCAATCAATACTATGACATTTATACTTGAACATTTGGATATTTTGAAAAGACATCGTTCCTGCATATAAGTACTGCAACGTGCACTAAAAAGAGGACTATATAGCACTATAACTAAGAAACTATACAAACGGACAGATGGATTGACTTGGCTCTTGATGCTGATCAAGAATATAGGGTTGGATATGTCTGTGTCACTGTTTTTCAAACTTCTACCTAAAATGTTTACGTCCTTAAATATTTTGTTCTATTGGAAACTTGTAGATATTTTATATTTATGAATAGGTTGAGAGTTTTAGAGGTATTACTGAAATATCTAGTTAATATTAATAGCATATAAAATATTGTTTGTACCTCCCAAAAAATCAAGGTTAAGACAATTGTACACATATATTTGTATATGTACAACTTGAATATCTGATTTCATACGTTTAGAAACAAATTAATTTAAGTTTGAAGTAGATTTTGTGCCAAAGAACACTTTATTTAAAAATTTCATAATTAACATAAGACCATCAGTAATATCTTTATAGCAGGAATTGGGATTAATAAAAAGTTCGGTATGATATATCGACCAAAATGTTGCGCTCAATAGCATATTACAAAATTAAGTAAACTTAGATCGAATTTTGAACAAAAAATGTTACACTCCAATTTTGTCAATTTGTTAAAAAAAATTAATTTAATGTAATGTATGTTATTTATATTTTTATTATTATATTGGTTCCATATATCAAACAGAACATCACATATAGCGCAACGTAAAAAATCGATTTATCTATCGAATTTAGATTAAAATTTCGATACAGTGTCGATATTTTCTGCCATTCCTTATTAGTGGTCTGTACATGAAAAACAAATAATCCAAACCACTGGATTCTGCATCTATCCCATAAAAAAATTCAAAATTCCAACTTTATTGTGTTAAAAAAGTAATTTCTGGTTCGTTTCTTGTACGATTTTGGTACAATATTATATATTTATTTATATAAAAGTATGAATTTTTAGTTCCTTCCAGGGTGTGAGTACCGACATCATTCTAAGCTAATAAACACTCTTTCGTTCATTTTTTTTTTTTATTGGATTTTGGTCTATGTACAATTAACAGCTTAATAAGTTTAGCCTTTGAGCAGCTCAGCCAATCGATTTTCGCGTTTAAAGGTTTACAAAATTAAAAGATCTTTACAAAAAAATCAACTCAATTACAAATTAAAAGAAAACACTTTCGAAATAACACTTACAAGCTAAAATGAAACGCCCTGAAACCATTGATGTTTGCAAATAGCGACAGAGGGTCTCCCTACTGCTGGTAGCAGTGCTAGTGATTCCTGAGTGCCTCATTGATGACTCGCAGAATATCTATTTGCAGATCGGTAAAAGCAACCGGCTCCAACTGGGCATTCCGAATCTTCATGGCCACTGCCTTGAAAAAGGCACCAATCTCATCATCCTCACCAGGATTGTGGCCGTTGGCGGTTGGAAACTCCGCATGGCTGGGCTTGTTCGGAGTGATGGGCGCTGAGTGGTAGCGAGAAGTGGAAGCCGAGCTGGGAGTGTTGGCAGCATTCTGGTATCGTGGAGTAGTGGGCGTCTGAATCTCCAGCTTTTGCTGGAACTCCCCAGAAGATGGCTGCTGCTGGTGCTCCATATTTGAGGCACCGTCGCTGAGCTGATCATGCTTGGCTATGGAACTGCTCACACGCTGAACTTCCATGTAAACAGGACCTTCATCATGATCGTAGCCCACCACATGCTGCTCTTGCTGCTGTTGACTTTGTTCCGCTGCCGTGGTACCCTCCATTTCTTCATCTTCGTCATCCTCTTCCTCATCATCATGGTGAGCCTCGCCCCCATTGATGTAATTCTCAATGTCCATATCGTCGTAAGTGGCTACGCACAGCTCACTGGCCTGCTGTTGCTCCTCCTGCTGTTGTTCTGGCATTGAGTTGGCCAACTCGGCCTTGTGCGGCCCCGTTAGGTGGGGCAGGGCGGGCATACTGAGCTGGGAACTCGACGAAGACTCCAAGGTGCTCTGCTGTTGCGCGGGTGGCGAGTGGGACTGGGCCATGTGCTCCTCAAGCTCTCTCGTCGGGTCATGTTTGGGCAGCAGCATACCCAGTTGAGGGTCGTTCTCCCTGAAAATAATTAAATTGCTGAATATAATATCGATCTATCTTCAAGTTTGAATTAGTTTTCAATATTCTTACAGCGTCTTTTGTTGTATGTACTTTTGCAGGAAGCCGAGAGAGTCGTAGTGCTTCCACCGCGATGTGGCGTCCATGTGCATCAGTGTTCTTAATCGCTTATGCTCGCGTGCATATTGGTCCCTCAAAGCCTTCCACTTCAGCCGACACTGCCGCACTAGAATGAATGCCGGAGGATGAATACTAGAAGATATATCGATTACTCGACTGCCTCTCACCCGACTTCTTTAGCTTCCGCGCGATCTCCTCCCACACCTCCATCTTCAGCTTGGCATTGCGATAGTTCTCATTGCCGTAGTTGTAGATCATGTCCTCCTGCTGGATCAGCGTGATCAGCTCCTTCTCAAAGTAGCTCTCCATGTTAAGGAACGTGTGTATGGGATCGTCGTCCTCCTCTTCGGCATTCGTTCCCGTCTGATTGTGCGCGGCTGCGTGAGCTGTGGCGGATGCAGTGGAAGCCGTTGCTGTGGCCCCTGATCCTGACTGATTAACGGCATTCACAAACTCGTTGTACAGAGTGTCCACCACAGTGGTGGTGTTTGCCGTTCCACACTGAACGATGATGGAGGGCGCTGCACCACCTCCGGCGTCGGTCAAATAGTTCCAGTTGCTCTCCGACTGCGACTGCTGCATAACTCCGCCCATATGGCTGGTCATGAAGGTGGCTGCCGGTTTCTTGTCCACCGCACTGGCCGAGCTGCTAAAGCTGCAGTTATCTAGCAGCGTGGTGGCGCCGCCATCCTCTATCTTGATGCTGCCGGAGAGGTTCAAGTTCTGGCTGCTGCTGTTGCTGCTGAAGGAATTGCCGAGGGGCAGCGAAATGGGCGTCACCGTGGAGGCAATACCAGCGGAATTCTGTCCAGATCTTCCCCTGTAACTGGGAGTATAAGCGTAAGTTAGTGCTTTGGGTTGCCATCCTGGCTTCCACTTACTTCCTTGCGAGCGCATAGGGACGCAGAAAGTCCAGCTCCTTGAAGTACTTCCACTTTACCGCCTTTGCACAGACCTTGGCGCGCTTCAGCTCCCGGCAGTACTGGTCCCGCATGGCCTTCCACTTGGACTTGCACTGCACATCTAAGGGTGGAGCATTGGGGGTCATCTATGAAGGAGAAACCGTGCCGTCCACTCACCAGACCAGCCCACATTGCTGCCGATCTCCAGCCACTTCTCGTCCTTGACCTTGGTGCTCCGATAGTTGGGGTGCTTGGGATTGTAGAGCGACTGCTCCTGGGAGACCAGCGAGATTAGGATCAGCTCCTTGGGAATGCTGACCACATTCTCGCCCAGGCTCGCCTCCATGCTGAGATTCACGAGCTGCGGATGCGGATGCGGTGGCGGCTGCTGGGGCTCCTGCAGCTGGATGGCACATGGCAGCGTCTCCATGGTGTCTCCTACTTCGCGTCCATGCTGCTGCAGCTGCCTTCGGTCTATTTAGTGGTTCATTTAACGAATTGTTATAAATAAAAGCAAAAAACAAAAATGAGGTGACCGAACAGCTGTGAGCGCAGTGTGACCGCACTCCGGCCATTCCTGCCTTTCGGGAATGTCCTAACGCCATTTCATCCCGAGACTTTGGCGCCCAAAATTCGCTTTTGTACATATTCGAATTTAACAGGTAATCCAATTAGTTAATTGCATTACCAACGGGAAAAGGAAAACATCATAACATGCAAGCGAAACAAATTGCTCAGAACTCAGTTTATTGTGCGGCGCGGTGCTGTTTATAACGATACATTGTATTACCCTTGCAAATATTGCTGCGGTCCACTAATTAATGCTCAATCATGCCGAAAATTGATGCTGAAACACAAAAGCTCTACGACGAGATCAATGGAATGATACAAAAGTTCAAGGTTAACGAAACTGACAACTACGATTAAGCAAAAACGAGGATAGTGTCCCCTGAAACTTGAATTACATAATTTAACCCAGAAGGAAAACATAATTAAATAAGTACACATATGCTAAAGATAATAACGGAATGAGTGAATATAAATCTATCTTTAAGAGTACATTAAAAGGAATAATAAAATTACTATAAAGATGAAATTATAAACTATAGATAGATAGAAATTAATTATTTTTTTAGTAAAGACGCTTCGTAGATTTTAATGGGATTATTATTTGGAATATTCTATAATTTAATAATATTTTTAAATAATTTTTAAAACGTAACATATCTTTATCGTAACACAACAAATATAATATAAAATATTTAAAGCATAGTTTTATTTAAAATATATATCAGTGGTAGTATTTAAAGGATAGTTTTATTTGAAATGTATGATAGACTTCTTATTATTTACTAAGGCTTCTAAATAATAATAATAAAAAAAAGATTTATATATACGTACATATGTAAGTATATGGTAGCTGGGTTGAAAAAAAAGACGTAAAGACAATCTTTACTAGATCGCATCGACTGGTGGTGTACGCCTTATGAAGTCTAACAAGTCTCTCTTACCATGTTAAAGAGTATAAATATAAGTTATTGAAATAAATTGTATGGTAAGTTAAAAAATAGTTATAATAAAACTCATTGTATGTTACCTTTAATGGCAAATTAACCGAATCGGTAAACTTTATAAATCATACAGTACAGGTCCCTATAATATATCCTTGATAAGTACACCTACACCGCTTATTTGTTTATTTCTTAGGAGGACCAAAAGTCCAAAGCGGATTGCTCGATAACCGACAAATGCGGTGATATGGGCGATGTGCCCAAGATCCGCTTTTCGTCGAAGAAAATTCTCAAGGGGCACATCAACAAGGTGAACTCCGTGCACTTCGCCGGGGACTCGCGCCACTGCGTCACTGGATCCCTGGATGGCAAGCTGATCATCTGGGACACATGGACCGCCAACAAGGTGCAGATCATCCCCTTGAGATCCGCCTGGGTGATGACGGTAGCCTTCTCGCCGTCGGGCAACTTTGTGGCCTGCGGAGGAATGGACAACCAGTGCACCGTGTACGACGTCAACAACCGAGACGCCTCCGGAGTGGCCAAGATGGTCAAGGAGCTGATGGGCTACGAGGGTTTCCTCAGCTCTTGCCGTTTTCTGGACGATGGACATCTGATCACCGGCTCGGGCGACATGAAAATGTGGGTATTTCGTAGTTGGTTTAGACATATCTTTATCGAAAACCTTTCCGTCTGTACAGCTGCCATTGGGACCTGGAGAAGGGTGTCAAGACGATGGATTTCAATGGACATGCTGGTGACATTGCTGGGTTATCCCTGTCGCCTGATATGAAGACTTATATCACCGGCTCTGTGGATAAAACTGCCAAGCTGTGGGATGTACGCGAACAGGGCCACAAGCAGATGTTCTTTGGCCACGACATGGATGTATCCTCTGTCTGCGTGAGTACTTACTGACTTTTTTTGCACCTATTCTCTATAATTAGGATAATTCAAACAGATATCATACAAAAATCATTGTAAATCCTGTAAAGCCTCACAATCAGAAAGTCTATGCTTCTGGTGGTTTCGATTTGAAACCATATGCGAAAGATGTAATGAATTTAAAGTTCCAAATTTTGAGTATTTGGACATTACTACCTCCTTGGAATAAGTTAAACCGTCTGCTTATATATTTCCTTTTCCCTCTTCTATATTATTCAATTTCAGTACCATCCCAGTGGCTTCGGTTTCGCCTCCTGCTCGGAGGATCAGACGGCGCGCATGTACGACCTGCGGGCGGACCAGCAAATCGGACTGTACGAGCCGCCCCAGAAGAACACGGGCTTCACTTCGTGCGGTGGGTTCCGTCTTGACCGGCGCTCTGGGTCGCCTTGACTTTTGAGAGGCTTTAATCTGATTTTGTGTGCCCATTAGCTCTATCGACCAGCGGGCGCTACCTCATGTGCGCCGGCATTGAGGGCAATGTGCATTCGTGGGATACAATGAAGCAGCGGCACACGGGTGGGTATCGTTGACCATTGCGGGGTATGGGTATGGGTATGGGAGAGTGGGGACTAATGCTCAGACTGGCACTTGACTTATATCGATTTTTTGGCTTCTCCCCCATTTACATTGTCGCTCTAGGCACCCTGTCTGGGCACGAGAACCGCATCACTTGCATCAGCCTCTGCCCCAATGGCATGTGTCTAGCCTCCACCAGTTGGGATCAGCAAGTGCGTCTCTGGCTATAATCGGCTCTGATCTGCGTTCAATATCGTCCACTGCAAATGTTACGTTTATGCGCGCGATTTATTTGCAAATAATAATTGGGTAAATGTCAGCTTGCAGTTAGTCAACACACTTGGTAAGACTTTCACTTTTAACGAGTGTTCGAGTCGATAAATTATACATGTTTCGCATGGAATCACGACTAACTTTGTGAGATTCGTTCATTTATGAAATTTATATTTGCAAACAAATCGCTAATGTAATAATTAAGTAATAATGAGAACGTAGTTTCCAGTAATTAGCGAGTGCAGATTGCATGTGCGAGAATAAAATGAACAAAGTAGCACAGCAACACTTGGGACTATTTATTTTTTATTTGCTAATACTTGCTACTATTTATGATTGCACCATATTGATTCAGATTTCCTCTCAACTGTTCAAATTCCTTTAAACCTGACATTAAAATTCACATTCATAATTATTTTTTTTTATATATATTTTTTATATTTTTCTTATAAAAAATACTTATACAATTACGAAGATATTTTGCTGCTGCGATTTTTGGCGCTTGGTTTTGTTGGATTGTGAAAATTGTCTTTGAACTGGTCAAAGAAGCAGCGAAGTAAATTAAAACAAATCACTTTATCGTCAACATAAATGGAAAAGAAGGAAAAGAGAAGCAAGACATAGAGACAGATGCAGATACAGATACGTAAAAGGAGATACAGATACATAGATAGATGGAAAGTGGAAGGCAGGACAGGGAGATGTGGGAGTCGGAAAATAAAGTGTACATAAATAATAGCGGACAGAGAAACTGGTTAGGATCACACAATCACAAGATTTGAACAATTTGAGTATTTTGTAGACAGTTCAACGTAGGCTCGCTGGTACAGTTTGTAGGGACTTTCTTGCTTTAGGTTATCAGACTCTCGGTGGAACTACTGTGAGTTGTTCTCCTGTTTGGGAATTTTGGATTTCAGGAATGGGGGAAGATAGAAGAGTGGGCCTTAGACGGAGAAGCCGTCGCCGGTGGGATCCAGGATCCAGGGGTAGTTGTTCGGGCACTCCATGCACGTGAACAGACGGAGGGTCTCCCCGGGCAGTTCCCTAGTGGTCAGGGGACACGCGTTGGGCAGGGAGCAGTAGGGCTGTCCCTTGACGTCGCACTTCTCCTTCCACTCCTGGAAGTCGCGCAGCGAGTTCAGCTCGGTGGGGTTCTGCATCCACTGGATCACCTGCAGGTTGGTCACGAAGAACACGTCGTTGCGGCCCAGCATCTCCTCAATGAACTTGACCAGCTCATCGCGGTACTCCTTCTTGGACTTCAGCCACGAGGCGTGGAAGTGCAGACCCAAAGGCGCCCTGTTGCTGTTGTAGTGACGGTTGAAGTTGTGGCGCAGAAGGCGGGCGAACTGCTCGCCGGTGGCCACGTTGGAGCAGGAGTCGACCATGTGGCAACCGGGCAGGGACTCGTCGAAGGTGGGGTCGTCACGACGATCCAGCTCGTTCATCACCATCTCCCAGACGGGGTGGCTACGCGACGGGCAGTTGTGGGCGTTGCCGTTGCACTTGTGTGGCATGCGGAAGTAGAGCGTGTAGGGCCAGATTGGGACGCGTCCCAGGGAGGCCGTGATGGAGGCGTCATACACGAAGAACTGGTCGGCCATCATCTCGAACTGCTTGTTGCCGCCCACGCGCAGGTAGGGGGCACGCATGCCGATGATGGAACCGTCGGTGATGTTGGCGAAGCGCTCCACGATCAGGCGGGAGCCGGCCATCTCGGCCAGCCAGTCGTCGTAGCTGCCACCCGACCAGTAGTTGGGGTCGTCCTTGTGCGTCAGCGAGAACACGGAGATCTCGTGGCCGCGACGGTGCAGATCCTGCACGGCCGAGTAGTTGGTGTACTTGTGAGACACGAAGAAGGTGCCCTTGATGGAGCAGCCGTTGGGGTTCTGGCGCTGGCCGTTGAACAGGTCCTCGTACAGATCGATGTTGTCCACGTTGACGGCGCCGTTGAATGTGATCGTGATCATCTGGGGCACCTGCTGTGGCTCGATTCCGCCGGGAATGCGGGTTCCGTCCGCCGAGCAGAAGCAGTCGGGCAGGGCGCACTGGGTGGGATCGCACTCAGGGGCGCGGTTGGGATCCTCGTCGACGGCTGTGGATGGAGGAAACTTGAGAGATTAGTCTCTGGGAGGAATGCTTAAAGTACGTCAGAGTGCTCTCTTATTTTGTTTCAATTCTCAAAAACATTTTTAAAAGAAAGCCCAAGCAAGAGTTGTACTTACAGCATGCGTTCTCGTCGGACTCGTCCTTGCAGTCGGACTTGCCGTTGCAGAAGAGCTCCTTGTCCAGGCACTCGCCGTCACCGCAGGAGAGCTTGCCCTCGGGGCAGATGGGCTCATCCGTCTTCAGGATGGGCTTGGCCTTGCGGGGCTCTGCGGGAGTTGGGGAGAAACAGTCGGTTAGTGGGGGTGCCTCTTAGGAGTCCTAAAAGCCGGGTTAGTGACAACAAATGTCTAAATTTTGAAATGAGAAGTATTTACATGAGTGTGATGGGTGACAATAGGCGGGGTTAGTTTCGAGCTGGGTGGGGTTAGGATTTCTTTATTCTTTATTTTTTTCTTTTTGGATCTACCAAAGTTCCGGAAGTCTAACATTGCTGACTACTACATATATGTACAGGTGTTGGTTGTTTGGCTTGGTTGGTGGTGGGTTGCTCTGGCTAGTTGTCGGCACACTTACTCTCTTTCTCATCGCAATTGGTCACCTTGGCCTTCCAGTCGCAGGTCTGCTTGAGCACGTCGAAGGCCAGACCCGAGGGACACTGAATTTCTTTCAAACCAGACTTGGTACATCTACAAAATAAAGGTCATGTTCTAATTCGGATTCGCTAGCTAGGAGAACTTTGGCGCCGATTCAAGGGACTCGGGGGCTCGGGACTCGTGTTTATGCAATGACTCGATCGATTTTCGGGGACTCCCCGGGTTTAGTGACACACAGAGAGAGAGACAGAGAGACAGAGGCACACAGAGGTGAGAGACAGATAGACAGGCAGAGCGGAGAGTAGGATAGGGGGATAGAGGGGTAGTAGCTTAGGACCGTGGCTCTCGGGAAGTATCTGGAGCCGCGCATCCGCAGCGGAGTGAATTGGGTGGCGGTCACTTACTCTCGAGCACATCGCAAGTCTTCACATTCGACTTCCAATCGCAAAGTTGGCGCAAGACATCGAACGCCAGGCCGCCGGCGCAGCGAATCGATGCCAGACGCCATCGGCCATCTTCGCCGGCACTGTCGCACCTTTCGATACCGATACAAGAAGGTGCAAGAATAGGTTTGTAGGAGTTGTGTTTGGATGCCAGGCATGGGCAAAGGCGCCTCCTGGACTTGGCCTCCTAGGCCGGGCGATCGGACAGAGAGCTACGTGCTGGAGAGCGGCTTACCTGTACACTTCGCGGCAGTCACCCTCGGTATCCAGGCGGAAGTACTCGTCCGCGGGACGGTCGGCGCACACCTCCTCTACGTCAACGCCTTCCAGCTTGTCTTGGCCATGTGCTGCAATTGAAGGAATTGGTTGATTAAGGGTTGTTCCTTATTAAATTTAAAGCCACTCGGAATATTTGTAATTGTAATGACAATTTTGTTGATTAAGAAACTTTAGAGCAAATGTTTTGAAAAGCTATTCACAATGTATCTATCTACAGATGAATCTATTTAAATTTATATTGATTTCCGTTTTTAAAATCGTGATTATACCTCAATAATATATACCATTTCAATCAACAGTTGTATAATCTTCTTCTAATTGGGAATTAGGTTTTTTTTAATGCTATTTAAAATGGTATAAAATGTGCAACCATGTTCTCTTCTCATTTGCATTTTCACATATTAATAACCAATAAAATATTTTAGCCTTCCTTATTCAATTTTATTTTATCTGTAGACTATTGGATTCCGATTATTTTGTGCAATGTCGGCGGACTTCATTGATGTCTCCGGCTAATCCTTAATTGTGCAATAAACTGCCACTACTCAGCAAGCTAATCGCTGATTAAACCATGGTAATTGGTCGCACCTCACGGGCTAATGGCTAATTTACTGCCGACACGAACGACTTTCGACCGGTTTTCGGTTTTAGCCGTTTTGTGTGGCAATTCGAGTACCGAGTACCACTTCTAGCCGACCAAAACAACTCTCATTTTTGTTCATAACTGGCGAAGACAGCTTCATCTCGTTCGGATGAAATCGAAAGGGCAAACGAAAGCGCCAGATCCCATTTATAGGCGCGGACGGGTTCGGATTCGGATTCGGGTATCTGGCGAATGCTGGGGAATGCTGGCGGAATATATCGGATCGGATCGGATCGGGTCGTCATGTAAGGTGTCTGCTGGAACGGGTTTGTGCATTGCCGGACTAGAAACCCGTTTTCGGTTTAACATTAAAATGATATTGCATAAACAACGTCGGCGATCGTCGGCTGGGTATTCAAAACGGAACCGTCGCGACGGCAGGCCGTTTTCCTATGCTAATTCCACTTTGTGGCCAACCCGGTTTCGTCCTCATGCCACACTTTTGCCTGTCCTTCTGCGCTCGGTTATATCATCGGCTGGCCGAAGGATAGGTTTGATGGATTGCATGCCGCTAATTACTTGGCTCCGCACTCTGCTGGCACTTATTTTTCAAGTTTATTCGCCTTGGCCAGCAAGTGAAGTGCTCACTTCGGTTTTTCCTCGATTCAATTGTGCGGCAGCAACCTTGCAGAAAGCGGCTCCAAAGGTCAACGCGGCGGCTACTTAATGCTAAGTGTAGGTGCTAACAACGGTACTCACCCGCTGCCAGGCACAGGCACACAAGGCCCAAAATTGGCCACCAACGCGCCATGATTGTCTCTCTGGAGCTCTCTGGATCGGAAACGAGGCGAAGGGTTAGCAACACATACGGAAACGGGGAGAAACTCTACTGACGTTTGCCCAGACTCTGGGTGGGAATGGTTGGTCGATGCAGTGCTGGAGTGAACGGAGCCACTCTTCCAATACACAGCCACGCTTACACTAGGTGTTGGCCACCAACAGCGGGTTCTATTTATTAAGCCGAGGTGTCTTGGCCGGCCGAGCCGGAGTGGTGAGTTCCGGGCTACCCACCATGGGACGCGGCAGCCCACCACGGCTGCGCCGGCGCCGGCCACGGAGCTTTCGAGGGGAGCGCGAGCCCTGTGGATCGCATTTCGAAATGCCAAGAGGTGCGCGCTGCGCAGGCGTCTCCATCTCTCGCCGCGCGAAGAAAGCCCCAATTAGCATTTACAGGCGCAGGCGCAGGTGAGGCGCAGACCAGATTCGAGACCTCTGCGCTGCTGCACCTCTGGGCTTGGTTGCTCCGCTAGTTAGTCATCGGCTTAGACATAAATCAAATGCGACTGCCCATCAATCTTTTCTGCCACTGACCCTGAATTTGCGAGTCTGTCTTGTCTGATCATCTGCGGTTTGATTCTGCTCAAAAACTATTGTCGGAAATCTCGATTTCGTAACTGTTTTTGTTATTCTTTTGCCCAAACCGTGTGTTCCCGCACGTTTACTGTCTTTAGTTGCTTTTTATTTTCACCTGGGGACCCGCAGAGAATCCCAATCGCTCGGAGGTGAGGCCGCCGGATGCATACTAATCGGGATCGGGCTGGAAGCTTCGACCGATTTGTATGCCCGTCGCGGACGTCGCATAAAATTCTTGTTAACGTGGCTAAGACACGGGGAGGTTATTAAACCTCGGGAAAACTGGACTGCGGTGGAGGGTTCCAGCAGGAGAGGACGGTCCCTTGGCTCGGTGACTCACGGCGGTTAAATTTAACTGCACTCCCTGTCGACCATCATCATCATCGGTTTCTTAATTAATGGCAAGCCGCCGAAGCCACTGTTAACTGTTTTGTTTTGCGAGTATTTTTACTTTTTGCACCGCCAGGTCTCCGTTATGTAAAGCAGGCGGAGATGAGGAGATGCAGGCGGCTTAAGGGCCGCATGCCGAGCAACCTACCAGCGGCTGCTCCGCCGCCTGTTATTCAATAAGCCATCCAAAGGTGGCCACCGGAGCCAAACCCGTAATTCGAAAGACGAAACGCGAAAAACGGTGCAAAAAGAGCAGCAAAACGGAGCATGTTTGCGGATATGAACCGCTGGCGACAACTGGCAGGCACAGATTCCAAAACAGCCTGTGACGAATCGCGGGTACGAACCAACAGGAAACTGCCAATATTTGCTAGGAAAACAAGCGATGCACTTGGCAGAGGGGAAGAGTTTCAGCAAATATGTTTTTAAAAGGTGTATAAAAGATTTCAATTGGTATAAGCAGTTTCAGGTGATCAATTTAACTTAAGATTTTTTAAAAACTTTTATGGGAGATTAACTTGGGTGGGTTTTGATCATTTTCCCCACGCCATCATTATTATTATTATTATTAATTTCTATTAAAGCAACAAACGCACTTATAATACTATAGTTGAAAAGGTAATATCGCATGAACTCCCATACATAAATGTTAGTAGCTAAAGTACATAATTATATTCATGAAAATGAAGCAAATTAATTGAATTAAACCTTTGAGAGGTTAGTATAATACCTTTATTAACTTAAATTAACTTAATTAGTTCAATAAATATTGTGAATTTGAATTAATTCCCACAAAATACTGTTAAAACTAATGAAGTAATAATACTTAGAATAAAAAAATACAAAAACACCCTTTATCCGGTCAGAGGTAAGGATACAGTTTTACAATGACAGATATTTGCTATTTCTTAATAGTAAATAATAATTAATAATGCTTTGGAGACAGTCAGTAGTCCCCATTACTAATTCATACACTAGATAATTACTATTAAACTACTACATACATTAACAGAGAACACGAACGATACTAAACCTGTATATCTGTAGGACAAATTTTGAAATGCATAAGTCTTTTCGTGTTTAATGTTTTTTGTATAATGAGTATTACCACATGTTACATGTTGAGATGTCTTTCACCTATACTTACCTCTGCCCACCTGATGTGAGTCGGATTAAATCTTTAAGAAACACTCCCTTCTTCGGTCAGAGGTAAGGGTACAGCTTTTCAGGGCCGTCATTAGCTATTTTCTAAATAAATAAATAAATAAATAAATATTCGCATTATACGTTTTTATACTATAACTCTTTAACGGAAACTAGCTCTCTTCATTACAATATAACCATTTATTTAATTTCCAATTTATTAATATTAACTAAAATATTTTAGTTATAAGTGAAGAACATAAATTCTAAGAACGAAATTCTTTCTAGATTTCCCTAGAATATTCGTAAACGCCCTCCAATTTTGTTTCGCCCACAACCAATCTGTTCGCTGAAATAGCCTTCATAGCCGTCGCCATATACTTACCAAGATCAAGTGATCTTCGGTCTTACATTCAGCTCGTAAGTCAAGTATTTTTTCAATGCAGCCTCCATCTTGGCTTTTCACCTGAACGACAGAATGGCCAGCGGACAGCTGCATAAAAAGGCCCCGGGCAATGTCAATTAAGTGTTATTCGCGTTCGATCTAGAAGAAATCACCTGGTGGCGTGTTAATGCAATTTATTCGAGTATTTCCAGTATATGTATATTGTGCATAGTTATTTCCTGAACTTGAGAACGGGTTCGTGTGCGAGTTAGTGTTCGGGCCCGTGGTTGTGTCGCAAAGGAGAACATAGTACACATACGTCAAGTGGGACTGCTGAGACATGGCCAACATGGCGTATGCGGGTTTTTTGCAGTGGAAAATTCTTGGAATCGCATCGGATCACAATTATATTTTAATTGCGATTGACCAATTCGAGTCCAGATGGAGTGGCGGCGGTGAAGGCTACCGATGCCGATGCACGAAGATGCTGCAAAAAGCGGTTCACCTTCCCCAGCGCGAAATGCCTGATTGCAGCATTTTCTTAGTTACAATTAATTTCAGCGCGCCGGTGATATAATCCCTCAACCGCATCACTTCGAAAGCCAACACAAAAACACTGATTATTGTTATTACTCCGCGTCTGCTTCTTGCCGTTTAATCAACTGTTAAAACTGGTTTTTCAATTAGAGTGAAAATGCTGATGATATGATGGCACTGGCACCCCAAAGCGATGACCAGATGAAGAGTGAAAATCGTTTTATTTTATCATCTTTTTTCCATTGGTCTTACGGATTTACATAATTTAGTTGCCCTCGATTTTGCCTCGCCGTGTGTGTAGTTGTGGCCGCCGTTGTGATTGGTGTTGCCTTTGATTTGATTTAAATTTGTAAGCGTTTTAACCTTTTTCGCAGCTGTTCGTGGCACTGGAAAGGTCGACGCGTCGATGCCAGTTGGCCGAGTGAATGACACACTTTTGATTTGAAAAGAGCCGAAAGCCGAAAGAGCTTTAGTCAAATCAGCAACGCCCATGGGCTTTTCCATAGTCCTTCGGCCAATTAACGCGAATTATTTTGCATACGAAATGAAAATCGAAGCGCCCATCTGGCATCTGTCTGAATTTCAGATTCGCAAGAAACCTGTCATTAGTTTCGAATTTCACTACACAAGAAATGTAAATCTGATGGTCTTTTCAATGCTTAGATAGTGGGTAGTAGTATCTTTAGGAGCTATGTAAGATCGCTATGATAGAGGAGCTCGCTGACCAAGAGCATAAAGATATATAGGAAGAAGAAACACTAATGCGAGAGTAAAAGTTAGATTCTTTACAGAATCGCTATTGATTGTAAGGGTAAAAACTAGTAGTTAAGTAGTTTGAGTACCACCGTCCTCTTAGGTTTTTAGCAGAATATTAAATATATGGTTAGGGGTAGGGATGATCTTGTCAAGTTAACCAGCTAACCGTATTGTTATTTTCTTTAAAAACTCATAAACCCTGCGAGTAAGGGAGTGATTTAGAGGGGAAAAAGAGAAATTGCTTTTTGAGAAAAGCAAACGAAACGGAATCGTTAATGAAGGAAATGGTGGTCAAGACAATAAAGTCGAAGACGAAGTCGAAGTTGAAGATGAGCCTGTAAACTGTAAAAGAAATGCATAACCATAAAAAATACCAAAACACGAGCTGGGTTGCGCAACCGCTATCCACATCCACCCTGTCCCTCCTCCTATATCTCGCTATATCTTCAGCTCCGATCCGATCCACCGGGGAGCGTTTAATTTATGGCGAGCCGAGAGCACCGAAGGCCTGCAGCAAATAACGGACTTTCTTTTTAGTCAGACTCCAGCATATCGGAGCCGATGGGTGCGAGAGTGTTTGCCTTTGACTTTCAATTTTCATTTCCATTTCCATTTCCATTTGAAAACTCATCAGCTGCGATCTGCTTTTGGTCTCATTCATCATTATGCAATTATGACGGTGTCTTGAACTCCTCACGAATGGCCTGTCCAAATTCTTCTGCTGATCACCTGACAGCTGCACCGGGGCGAGAGACCACAAATCAAACACCTGGAAGCTGCTAGCCTCGCCTCACCTTGCCGCATTGACGTCAGCCGAATGGCCAGTATCTCTTACATACAGACTCCACCGAGATAAGTTGCGGCTCCCAGAACAAGGAAGCATATTCGAGAATTAAGTATCCGTCTACGGCGAACAGTGGGCTCAGACGCAGCAAAGCGTGGAACCAAATCTAGTTTGTGTCAGCCAAAGGCGTCTAAAATATGCAGCATGTTAAGTGGATACCAACGGGATAATATAATTAATAGCCCGGTTCCACTAGCTTTCGATCTCATTCTAAACGGAACTGGTTATTCCGTGTTACTCTATATTTAAGTGTGGTTATGAGCTTGCCAACAGCATTAAATAATTTCATTCTATGCATAATTTTCAAGCTGACAAATTTTAAATGAAATATCTTATTTTCAAATAGATAAATTAAGATAAGCCGCTTAACTGTGTATTGAGTTATAGGACATTAAGTCATTGAAATCTATAAACTGTAGTAGTTAAAAATAAAGTTGGAGTGATAGAATCGTTTTTATTCTGCAAATCAAAACAAACACCCTTTGGGGGCCTTAAAAATTGGATATTC